TCCAACAAGTGGATCCGCCCATGGGGTGTCGACGTGGATTAAACCGGTTATGATCCAACCCAGTGAATTAAAGTAAACTATCTAAATAAAATAGATTTGAAACTAAATAATATTTAAAATATAATAATTGAGGTTGATATGATGCAAAAATAAGAGATAGATTATAGTTTATAGACATTAATAGATAGTTAGAATAACGTGGGTGGATGAACAGTGAACAAAATTACTGTGATGTGTGATTATGATTGATTTATATTATTTAATTATATTTAACAAAAAGTAGAAGAGTTGGTTGGGTTGGATTTTGAATTAGGTAGTTGGATATTAAATCATAACTCATATTCAATCACGCCATTACTTATCCACAAACGTATGCCCCGATGTTACGGCCTAAGTTTGAGGCCGTAACTTGGCGCATTCCCTTAGTGTGCCAAAGGCCGAGAGACGCGGGCACATGTGTGATGATAGGTTCGCCAACAGTTATGAAATTTGTAATTAAGGCGAGTTATTAGGGGGTTACTGATGGGTCTCCTCCTAGATCTGGAGTGAACCGGTGGAAATGAGCTCCGATCTGTTCGAATCGCCTCCAAATCGTCCTTGAACCGCTGCGAACACATGCAAGAACTCAACACCGGAGGTGTTTCCGGTGAAGAGCCTCCGACACTCAAGTCAGTGAAGGTGATGAAGATGAGCTCTGCTCAGTAGGAGCAGCAGTTGGAAAATGGGTAGAGAGAATGAAAGTTATGGTTTGGAGTTACCTCAGCTCCTTTATATAGGGTAGAAACACTTACTGGAAATACCTAAATAGCCCTGGCCGACTTACGCGAAGTGTCCAAAAAGCCTTGGTCAGTTCGCATTCTGCCCACTCCTGAGTCAGCATGGAGATTCCTTCTTATCCTATGTAAACTCAGTCTCGCTTGGAGATTTCCATGTGTTGTATCCAAGTGTATGAAGTCGTCGGAACTCTCGTCGTCTCGAGACGGGCAAATCGACTGGCAGTCTTGTCGACCCAACTTGGGTTATGAGTGTTCGGAGACAGTTCTTCACTTACTCGTCTTTCATGGGAAGTCGTCTTAAAAGCCGTCTTGGAGCCGCTATTGGGCTAGCGGCGATCCTAAGTCAACTTTGTGAACACGGTCGACTTTTAGGGGACAAATTAGTGTGTCGTCATTAGTGCTCATTAAGTCGAGTAACCAGCATCTAAGACAGACTATGACAATGGGGCTATATCAGTTACGATATAATTATGACAAGATTTTGATACGAAAAGGTGGCTAGGAAAAAACGTAAAAAGATAGCAACACACAGATTTTGTTGATCGACTGTGGTGCCAGCGAGGAAAGAGTTTCTCGAAAGTGTTTATTAGGAATAATATAAGGAAGTTACAATCGAATATTATGTGTATGATCTTTTGGGAGATTAGCTAGAATAATGACGATCACAGTGATCTTTTTGGGGAAATTAGCCAGGTGAGCTTTTATGTGTGTCTAGCCTTTATGAACTTATATGGGCTTAGAGGCTGGTGTTCATACACGAAAAAGGTATCGGTTCATTAAATGAGGAGCGCCAGCTAAGGGTGTAAGGTGGTGTTGCGTGTATCTATGCAGAAAAGTGATAGGACCTATCAGCGGTGCTACCAGCTTTTCCAGAGAGCATTCAGGCGGTTGGAGCGATCGTCATTCGTCCCTGAGAAGCTTCCGTGGGCGATCGCTGTGCCGATTGGGCGATCAAAAACCCTAAGGGTGAGAATGTGGGCTAACTCCATAGACTGATCTTTACAAATTTGGGTCTGGCTTATCTACTTTTGGGTCGGTGGAAGAGCGTAGGCCACATCGCCCTTGGTGATCGAGTATCCTTGGTATAACATAGAGGCCCACATGTTCCTAAGTGCAGTGAGGTCACTCGAGCTGCCTGGAAAGCTAAGGTTGTTGCTACCAATCACGTTACGGTTATATCAGATGGACGTGCAACGCCATATTAAAGCATTAGAAGTAGGGACACGTCATTTTTTATTAAGACATGTCACTTCCAGTACAGGCGAGACTCTTGGGATTTGTGCTTTAGTGTGACTAGGCGCGATGATTGGACAAGAATTCTTCCTATAAAGGGCAGGTACTTCGCTCACTTCTTCTCAGAAATCCCCAAGGATTAGGATTTTCTTGAAATCAAAACCCTAGCATTTCTTTGTTTTTCTCTTTTTCTTTTTTCTTTTGGGTGATCATGTCTTATTTGTGCGGTCACAAAATGAGAAATCTTGAGGATCAGATTCCGACACCGGAGGATTGTTGGCGTCTTTCGCCAATACAAGTGCCATTGGTGGAAGCCAATATGGAACGCTTAGGCGAGCAATAAGAGGGACCCCGAACTGCTGACGATACATGAAAAGTATGAAATTTCGGACGTCGTGAAAAATGTTCGCCACATATGAAGCAAGCGGGCCCATTGCCCCTCGAAGAGGAGTATCGCATTGCATAAAGAAGCGATACTATCGGGGTTGAGATTCCCGCTTCCTTTGGTGATCTCCCGGTATCTGTTGGAATGGGGCATTTCCATTGTTCAGGTATATCCAAATGTTATTTATCGCTTGTGCTCTCTGGTGGTAATGTTTGCCTCGAAGGGTGGCCAGCTCCGACTAGAGACGAGTTGGACTCTATGTATGTGTGGAGAACGGCCAAGGAGGGATCGAGATATTTCCATCATCACCCGAGGGAGAGTAAATACGCCCACCTGGTGAAGGATGTCCCCGAATTGCGATACAGGTGGAAGTCGGAGTGGTTCTGGATTGCCGGAGAGTGGCGAGGTCACGATCAATAAGGTCAGAAATACAAGACACCGACTTTTTTCGTGGAAAAGATTCGCAAGTATTTCTTACTTCTGCAATACTTTGTGAGCCAATTGTTTGGATCCTTTCTTGTTGTGATCGACTCATCTTAGCATTATTGTTAGTTTGGCGTAGCGGACGACAAGAATGGTTCTCCCATGAGCGTGGAGTTTGCCAACAAATTGAAGATTTTAGATTTAAATATCCACAATAGAAGTTATCGCGCTTTGTGCAAAAATGACAAGTTGGTCAAAGTAGGCTTTCATCTCGGCTTTGATGAAACTCCGATCGAGCCAAGTGACACGCTTTCGATGTATATGACAGTGATCATTTTAGTAAAAATTCGTCCTTTCTCACTACTTTGTTGAAATGTAGTCTTTTGCCCGTCTTTAGTAAGTAAGCAAAGACTACATTCAATAAATATATATTTTACTTTTTTTTTTTTTGAAAAAAAAGATATATCATTCAAAATAAAATCACACTTAAATCATTCAGTCATAAATAAAAATAATAATATAATTTCAATACTATTGATAATAATAAACAACAACAATCCACCATTCCTAAAACACTAAACATAGTTGGACGATGTAGAGTTCCCCATCACCAACCCATATGATATTATCATGAGAAAAATATGACAACCCATTATTCAAAGTTCAAACATAGTTCACCAAACAAAAGTTGGAACTCAAGTGTGAACAGCCTGCACCAACTTTTTTGCCCCAACGGCCCTCCACAAAATAAATATACAAAACACACCTAACACCATACAAATATATAAAATATAAATTTATTTCTTGCTTCGTACTGTTCCATTTCAAACCGCAGGACACACATACATACAACACATTTAAATTA